TTAATGCCTCTACAATCAACACACATACGTGATGTACCATTCTTTTTCGGCACTAGAATAATAGGAACAGCACAAGGACTAAGGGATTCGCGTATATAACCTTTGTCGAGAAGCTCTTGTACTTGACGCATAATCTCCTTCGTCTCCTCTGGATTGGTACGGTATGGTGCACGGTTTGGCAGTGAAGCACCGGGAATTAAGTCAATCTGATGCTCAATCCCTCGAATAGGCGGTAATCCCGGTGGCACGTCTTGTGGAAAGACGTCAGCGAACTCCTGCAAAATGTTAGTGACAGCAGGAGGCAAAGAGGAAGGCACGTCCTCGAATGAAAATAATGCCTCTTTGCACACAAAAGCATAGCAAACAGATTTGCTGAAATCTAGCTCATCAATATCAGATTTGGTGGCAAATAAACGTGCACTTTTCAATTTAATTTCAGAAGCAACACTAGATGGTTTATTATTAGGCTTCATTTGTTGCTCAAATTCTTTTGCCACAATCTGATTTTCACTCTTATTCTTCTCCTGTTTTGCTTTATTAGCTCTATTAATATCATCTTTTAAAATGGAATCAGGAGTCATAGGAAGCAAAGTAATATTTTTATCCTTATGAACAAGAGTATAGTGATTGTTTCTACCATGGTGTACAGAGTTTTTATCAAATTGCCATGGTCTACCAAGTAATAAGGAACATGCTTGCATAGGTACCACATCACAATCAACATAATCAGCATATGTAGAGATACTAAAATGCACACGAACAGTACGTGTTACCTTAACCTTGCCGCTGTTGTTGAACCATTGAATGTAGTAAGGATGTGGATGTGGTCTTGTGGTGAGAGAAAGCTTCTCCACCATGTCCATGCTAGCCAAGTTGTTGCAGCTCCCTCCGTCTATTATGACGCGCACAGAACGTTCCTTCACAACTCCCTTGGTATGGAATAAATTGTGCCTCTGATTTTGCTCAGCTTGTGTGACCTGCACACTCAAAACACGTTGAGCAACTAAACATTCATACCTGTCAGCGTCTTCAGGAGCCATGTATTGCGTCTCATGATCAGAATCATCTCCACCATGTTCTTCATGTGTAATAAGGGCCAAAGTCTCCTCATCATAGTCACTAGCGGACTCATATCCACCATCTGTGGTAGCAATCATCACACGCGGAGATTTGCATTCTCTCGCATGATGACCTCCTCCCTTACAACGACGACAAATAATATCACTTGTGTGCCCTGTTGATGCCATGGAAGAAGAAGAACTCTGTGCAGGCCCAGCAGGTGCGCTCTTGGCAGATAATGGTGGTTGTGCCTGTTTTCTTGTATCACGACTGGAGGAGGCACCTGATTGAGGTGCTGGTGCAGTTGAAGTAGAAGATGCACGCGGTGTCCATGATGAAGGTCGGCCTGCAGAAAAGTTAGATCGCGCCAATGCTTGTCGATCCTGCACTTCACGTTCAGCTTTAGAAGCAAGATGGAATAAACGAGTGATATTAGTATGCTCCTTATAGTCTAGAATGGTCTGAATCTCTCTATTTAATCCACCCAGAAAACGTGCAAGCATAGCTTCATTCTCTTCAACAATACCACATCTAATCATGCCAGTTTGTAATTCCTGATAATATTCTTCTACAGAATTTTCCCTTGTCTTAAATGCTGCAATTTTTGAAGCAATTCACGTTGATAATATGGTGGAACCCAACGCGTACGCATAGCAGTTTTCAAAGCAGCCCAAGTAGTTGGAATAGGATATAATCTACAATGTTCAGACCGCCATACACATGTAAAACTAGTGAAAACACAAACAGCAGCAGCAACCCGTCTCTCCTCGGGATATTGTAAACATGTAAAACGTTGTTCAGTTTCTAACTCCCAAGTAAGATATATATCAGGAACATATCTACCCTCAAATGGTGGAATATTCAATTTCAGTTTAGGAATATGCACATCATCTCGTACCTGAGGTGGTGGTGCAGGCCTACCATTACGAATATATACCTGAGGTCGACCTGATGGTGGTGGTGCTGGTGGGTGCACGTAGTTCTGATTTTGATCAACCTCATCCTCATAATCGCCCGCATACTCATCATTCTCCTGGGTACCAGCAGCAGCAGTAGCAGGAGCCAAAGAAGCATCAATAACAGGAACAACAACACCAGAAGTTTGGCCATCCTCAATAGGAACACGCTTCGCTCGTCCATACTGATTCGGAAGGATGCGTTGTTGTTGGTGTTGCAGAGGTGCGATAGGTGCAGCCGGCGGTGGTGGTGGTAAACGCGCGAGCAATTCATTAAACTTGCTATCAAGCTTTGTTTCGAACGTCTTCTCCATGCCATCTATCTTTTCCATGGCCTCGTCAAATCTGTTTAGCACATCTTGCACCTGCCCACTCATCATTTGCTGAAATTTATCATGTAGCTGTTTGTTCGTCAGGTTCTTCCAATCAGTCTCATTGCCTTGTGATCCTACCATGGTGAGCAGCAAATAGAAACACACAAGAATATGATCTTACAGACTATTAAGAAGTGGTGGTGGTGTATCACAAACCCGTCAAGCAAAACTCAAATTCTTACCAGTTCTTACCCAGCAGCAGGCGGTGATCGGCAACCGTTGTAGTCAAAACTTTCAAAGCTTGGATAGAGCGATTACCAGGGAGAGTCAAACGCACGACGTAGATGTATGTGGAGCTGGGAAGGCTTATAATATTCCCGCAAAAAAAAGGAAGGCTTATAATATGGTAGCAAAAAGGGTCAGCAATAATCAATTCAGAGATGCAAAGTTGAATAAACGCTCAACGACGGTACTGTGCTGGTCCTAGGCTAGACCGTGCTAGAGACGCGAGCCTAGAACACTAACAAAATCATGGTGCTGCACGTAAACAAGGAAAAAGCACACTCTGGAATTTTTTTTTGCTCTTTTTTTTGCGCTCTTTTTTTTGCGCTGTTTTTTTTTGCGAAAAATCACTATAATGGCGAGTGTCTCAAAACTCTTCCTTGGTCAAACTGACATGATGGGCATGAAATTTTTTCGACCAATTTTTTTTTTTCGTTTTTTCGACTGCCCGGATCCAAAAACTAGAAACGGGTCAAAAAAAACTTCCTATAATGGCACTTGTCTCAAAACACTTAGAAACACCTAAAAATAGGATAGCCAGATTTTTTTTCGAAAAATGCGTGTTTGAAAAATTTTGGGCCTAAACGGAGGGTGGTTTCCGGACTCTTTTTTTTTTCGAAACCTACTCCGACAAGGAAACACGAATCGGAATCTAGATGGATCTCAAAAACACACCTAATATGCAAGGAACTCGGATTGGTGGTGGATATATGGTGGTGGTATATGGCAGCGGTGGTGGTATATGGCAGCGGTGGTAATATATGGATATGGATCGGTGGTGGTATATGGATACGGATTGGTGGTGGTATATGGATACTGATTCGGAGCGGTGGTGGTAGGTGACAGGGGCGATGATGATGGTGCGGTGGCGGCGTGACAACTTATGACCAGAACTCGAAACTCTAAAAGACTAACGCTAAGACCAGCAACTAGACACGACGATGCAACCGCAAATTCAACAAAGCAAAACCCTAAAAAGATTATGCAAAGGCTCAGATTGGTTCGGATATGATGAACTAACCCTAATTTTTTTTTGGCTTTTTCGTGGACTGTAGGTATGAAGAACAGACTCGATCTAAACTACGAAAAACTGTAAAATCTCACCGAGCAACCTGGAAATCTGATACCACTTGATAGAGGCGGAGGTGTCCCGTCTTTCGATGAGATGATGAATTTTCGCTTTGGTGGAAGTCGACTTTGACGATCCGACTACGAACGTGCAAGGACGTCGCGCCTTAGCAATCGCTAAACCAACTCCGAGAGGTTATTGACCACGCCGGAGCACGATCAACCTGACCACGAGGGTCTGATTCCTGCGAGCAAACGAAGAACAAGCAAGAATCTGAGATTGCAATCTGGATATTGCGAATATAAGATGAAAGCTTTATTGATCAAGGTGGGGTTCTGTGACGCCTTTGTCTGGTCGTTGAACACAAACGAAGTACGCGAAGTTGCAGCTATGGCGAACTTTAATCTAAACAAAACCCGAAGTCTAAACGATGCCCTAAGGGCTGTATATATGGAGGAAGAGGGGGGGAATTTCGTGGCCCTTGGTGGAGGGGTCCGAAATCAACCCTATCTCTTGTTTCCCCACACATACGTACTCTAAAAATAGCCTATACTTATGTATTTCGAAATTACATGGGCCTGGCCCAATAATAAGGTGACGCAGCACCTAAAATAGCTTCGGGACGAAATTTATGAAGTGGCATCTTGTATATTTCGTCCAAGGCTTCATGCACCCATTATGGTGGCTTCAAAGTCCTGAAATCATCACTTGTAACTCCGTTCTTGTTCCCCTTGCGCATGCCATCATCTCCATGCTTGTTCTTGCTCCAATGTTTATCCTTCTCCAAGCTAGGCCCTTCATTTGTAAGCAAAACAAATGTATCCAATTTAGGCAGCATCATATTTTCATGAACATTAGAATCATTACCAAGAAACGAAAGTACCTGGTAATTTAGTTGGCGTGCACGAGCTCTAGTAATTGGTTCAGTATGTATAGCAGGAGGGGCTGTGGGTGTAACAATTGTATTGATGTCCTCATCAGGGGATGTAGCCAATGTCTTGTGAATCTCGTTAAGAAATCTCAGTGGCGTGTCTATTGTGATTGCTTGCTCCTTGGTAGATTGATTACATGACTCAGATTATTCTAACAAACACTACATGCACATCTGTCTAAAGCAAATTGTTCGGATGATATTGAATTTGCCATTATGTGGCCATGCATGTCTGATCACACCGATGAATACACATGTTTTCTATGTTTTTTGCTACTTGCATGAAATCTGCTATTCTTGATCGTTTGTGCATATATGACATTTTTCGTCCCAGTTGTCATGTTCCATGCCTTCGAACTGATGTTTCGTTGACCATTCTCATTATACAGGTGATGAGAAATTGATGGCAGAGATGTCTCAGAAGGCACTAAATGCTGCTCGACCAAATGCTTCGGCTGATATTATTCGTCACATCTGTTCACTGATTGGCCCAACCAACCTGACATAAATCTTGTTTTGCACATTACACGAACTCTTTTTTGCAGTAATCCATGCGCTAGTGTTAGTTGCTGGGATGCTGTGCAGCAGAATGGCATCTTATTCTTGAAGTCGAGACTGAAGATATAACTAATCTACTCCGTATTTTGGTTCACTTGAACGACAAAGCATCCAGGTAGGGAATGGTGCCTCCAGGAGTCCAGGTACTGCTTACTTGGGCTGTCACGTTCAGTAAGTAATAAAAAGATTCTAGTGCTACTATAACTGTTAAAGAAGACCTCCTAAATGAGACCTGAGAGTATGCAAATTTACTCTAGTGTGGCAGAATTGCTGAATCTAAAACTAACTTGAGACTTCAAAGCATTGTACACTGCATCTGCCTTTTTACAAAGGCTTTTCTCCCATTTCATTCAGAAGGCTGAACTCCTTGGTGAAGCTTAGTATTCCCTCCGTCCCACGGAGGGAGTAATAGCTAAGCATAGGAAAGGTTGCTGTTTAGAAAATCAAAATGCCGAGGGTTCTGTGTGAAAGAACAACCAGCAGTCGCATTTCTACTCCCCGGTGTTGTTGGCTTGTCCTTAGATGTTTGCAATATAGTATGTGCTCGTAGGCGCAAATGGGCGAATCCCATAAGAAAATTTGATTAAGAACGGGTTAGATATCTCCTTAAAGAATCTGAAAGAATATGAGAACTTCGAGTGGGGGATTAAATTCAAAATGTTTGAGTTATTCAAAGTTCTAAGTACAAATTCGCATCAGGCACACACAAACACATCCATGGAAGAATTGGCAAGGATGTTTAAAAACATGTTAAAAGATACTCCCTCTGTCTGTAAGATGTTTTTGCAGGCTTGTTTAACTTGCAAAAATTTCTTACATTGTGGGACGGAGGGAGTAGGAAACAAATATCTGAAGAAGTGTGGGGGCACCAAGTGTTATATGAGCGGGGCGGTGAATCACCTACAAGGTGCCCCCGACCAAGTTCGAGGTAGTCTTTTGGCTTTGGATTTTCTACAGTAATCTTGGCCCACCCCTTACCTTGAAGCCTATATCAATTACTTTTCCAGTGATGGCAAGTTTAAGCATTTCTCTTTTGTTTCTTCGTGTTGATGAATGGCGTCATATAGATATACAAGGGCTGCCCGCTCTGCCGCAAAAAGGTGGAGCGTATTTGCCCGAGCAAGGGTGAATACTTGTAAGGTCCTGTTTGGTTTGTCGTTTTCTTTTTCAATACACCTGTAAAAGATACGGGCCTCGACTCGTCGTTTTGTTTTCCGCCGAGAATTGCTGAGCGGCCGGTAAATACAGGTGTAAAATAAACACCTCTGTTTTTTTTGAATAGTTTGGATTGCTTACCTCCGTGTTTGATTACAACGAATCCAAGCGCAGCCACCCGCTTGGAATCCTTGTAGAAGTTTTACATCCGTATATGAATACCCCTGTATATTATAGGAGATTTGTAAAATACAACCGGATATTCCCACATGTATATGCTGCGCTTGGTTCGTCGGATTTTTGCTTGTTTCGGAGAGTGTCTCCCGTGCGCTATGCCGCTGGCTACCAGAAGAACGAGCGCCATGCGTCTGTCACAGCGCGGCCACGGCGGACGCAGGATCCTGCTGCAGTGGCGAAGGCGATTCGGCGGCAGCAGGGACGCCCTGGGCCGGTGGTGGTGGAGGCAGGCGCTGCAGCGGCGTTGGGTTGCAGTGGCGGCGAGCGCACGCGCTCCAGCAGCGGCGCGGACGCTGCGACGCTCGGCGGCCCGCAAGCACCCATGGTGGTGGCTGCGGCCTGCGGACGCTCGGCGTCAATGGCGGGCCGTGGTGGTGGAGCTGATGCGGCAGGACTGCAGGAGGCGACTGCGCTGGTGACGATGGTGTCTCCGGGGAATGGCGGCGGCGCTCCGGGGAGCGGTGGCAGTGGCCTCGGCGTGCTCCGGTTGAGACGTTGCGGCGCTTATCTCGGTTGTGTCTACCTAGTCAATCACGACCGAGCAAGAATGGTGGAATACCAGCGACTAGGAAAAACGACGGATATAGAAGCGTTTTGCAAACCGACGGAATACCAGCGATATCCAAGTGTAAAGTGAAACCGGGTGTAAAAGTTAGGACGCAGATCCAAGTAGATCGTCTGTTTTATTTTTACGGGGGTATACTTTACACGTGTAGATGGCTGGAAAACGGCAATCCAAGCGCAGCAAGGAGAACTTACCAACAGAGTTGCTAATGTTCATAAACCCTCCTTTCTTAAGAAAAAAAGCTAAACCCTGATGTCGATTATAAAAACAAGGTCAATAAATATAGCCACAATTATCCTTATAAGAGCAAGCAATCCAAAACAATTAGCAGCTTTCAAGTTTTAGAAAACAAAACAAGTGACACCTTTCAAGTTCAATCTACACAACTAGATGATTCAGCGTACAACCAATTGGTAAAGAAATAAGGGATCTCTTTCCTCCCCAAGAAAAGATTTCTTCCTCTTACCGCCGGTTCACCCCGCCTTCGATGGCCTTTGGGCCGTGGAGGTGTGGATGATCTCGCCCCCCCCCTCCCACTGGCAGGGAGGGACTCAAATGTTGTTTTTGTTAGGTTCAACGTCTTGATTAGGGTTGTGTGGCGGTGATGATGTCCCTCAGTAGGAATAATGTCTTTCACGTTCGATCCCCGTTGTGATGGTGCTTCTGTTAGAACAAGTTTCTGTTAGAATAAATCTGAGGCCGCCATCGATCATCTGAGGACCAAACAATCAGACGAGCACGACACTGAGATTTGTTAACGAGGTTCATCGATATGGCTACATCCCTGGGGCCTGACTACGGGCGCTCCTCCCCGTGGCACCGTTGTAATATCGCACACCGGCCACCCAAACGCTGGCACACGCCGCTGACTCCCCCTTGCGCGCATGTGCTATTATGTTAGCATATGTTATATCGTGTGTCTATCCCGACTATATATAAGAGGCCTGAGATACAAGCGTCCTACTTGGACACGACTCCGTATCTTATCTAAACATAATACAACAAGTCCAACTGTAACCTACCTTGTACACAATGTGTCAAAGTAGGACATTGGACTCCATTGACTCCACCTTGGCAAATATTCTTCACCACCTTGAATTCATACATGCGTCAAACTTCCATGTACATTGGACTTGAGAGTTTGTTCCACGTGTACCGCTGCTACTCCAAAGATTCCATGTGACTCCACCTGCAAATTGTAGTCCCTTCTTTTCTTGATCACAGTCAACACTCGAGCAAAATTAAGTTCCTCTTTACTCTAGTCTGTGCTCCCAACTTCCAGAGTATCCGTCCAACGCCATCACACACTGATCACTGACCTGCGTGAAAGTGAACAACTCACATATTGGGTGTCGCACATAAGAGTTACCTGAACTCAACATCATCGCTCCTTTCTTGACCGCCTGTCTGAAACTTGAAGGAATTTCATAGTTGCTTGTAGTCATCCCGAGTTAAGGTCACAGTTGTCTCACCACATATATGACCACTAGATCCTTGACCCGTCTACATGTCCCGTGCGCACTGCATGCCTCACCTCTATTACCACGTTGAGCCTCTACTGTCCCGGTCGAGTCTCAAGGGTCACAAACCCACACCACTCGACCCCATTGCAGTGCACCGCCGATCATGACAGACCGATGACGAGTTTCACGTTTCTGTTAGACCATTGGCCTCCAGTCCGAACCACGTGTCACTCGCCCCCCCATCGAATATGCTTCGACTCTTCGTGCACTTACGCCGCAACCCCTCAATCAACACCGAGTGAAGTCCTCCAGACTTCAGCTCTACCTTCAACATGACTCCATGGTAGATGATTAGTCCACCCTCGCGCCCCGACGACTTTAAGCTCCTGAGTACACATACAATAGTCTCATCATATCATGTCATCATCATCATCATGATCCAACACAAATGATGTCTCTCATCATCATCTCGAAATAGCGATACAAGTTATCACATGTCTCGAATACATGCAACTACATGGTCATCCCATACACATGTTTCATCATCCATCTAAATTATGGTATAAAAGAGAAGAGCTATCACTATGAGCAAGAGCGGAATTATGCAGTACATGAGGTGCCGGTTCTGATTCCTTTCTCGTGCTAGCGTGAACCCCAAGTAACTAGTTTATGCTTCTTGTTTGCTATCGAACCCTTTCTGGCTGCCGCCCGAGAACCCTGACACTTGGGCCTGACACTCTGGCCACTCATCGTACACTCTTGGAACCCTCGTGATGTACACGGCATAACACTTCTTTGCCATCAAGGACCTATGTGCTGGAATTTTTGTCTATTTGGGCCTAGCCCAATAGCAGTTTCAGAAATTCCTAATAAATCCTAGAGGCCCACGCAGCCCATTCGTGCAAGGCAAGAGGTGGAACTAAAGTCTAGTCCCACCTTGCTAGTTTAGAGGGAGCTGGACCTCTTTATAAGGGAGGCTCCTTCCCCACTTCTATGAGCATGAGAACAAGAGGGACATCCACGTGCGCTCCTCCTTCGCCGCCCGCCTCGTCACGACGCGCCGCGGGTTGCGGGAATGAGCCGAGCCGATGTAAATTTTTGTCACGCACTACGGATATACGAAAGGGCACGCGAAAGCTGAAACCTTTTGCTGTAGTGGAGATTGAATACGAACGGCGCACCTCTTCGTCTGGCCTGTTCGTTTCGTCTCCCTCGTTCTCTTCAGCTCCCAGCGCAACCTCTCGCCTTCTTCTCTTGCGCCTATAAAAGGGAGGTCGCTCCTCCCAGAGAGACGCACCAGAACTACTTCTTCCTCTCGCCACCGGTTCCTGAGCACTGCGCTGCTGCTACGATCTTCTCCATCCCGGCTTGCAGCGTGCACCGCAGGTCGGGACAGTAGGCCTCCGAAACCGCACTCTTTGAGTCCTGTACGGGAGAAGGGTGATAAGGTTTTTGGGGAGCGCTCTGAGCGACTACTGGCTGATTCATCACGGACGATTCGGTCGCCGACGACTACTTCCCCGACGACGA